GCGCGTGGCGCCTTCCGTGCGACAGCTGGGGCGAGGAGGGCGGGCCCCGCGCATGCGCGCTGCCGCGGGGCGAGGAGAGGCGCGCGCAGGCCCAGCCCTGCTCACGTGACGGGGAGGAGCCGCTGCGGTCACGTGCCGGGAGGCGACCGCGGTCACGTGACGCCGCCGGCCACCGCGCGCCAAGATGGCGGCCTACCTGCAGTGGCGCCGCTTCGTTTTCTTCGAGCGCGAGGCGGTGAAGGAGCCGCCTGGGCCCGATGGTGGCGGGAAACCTCTGGCGCTACCTCCAGGCCTCGCGGTTTGCGACTCGGGCCGCGGCAGCCTCGTCTTCGGCGATATCCTTGATGGGGCTGGGTGGGCGGCCCCTGCCGGGAGAGCGGTCGCAGCGCTCGAGGGTCACCGGCAGCGCCGGTCTCGGTTCGTGCCCCTGGGGCGCTTCATCCCGGCCTTAGAAGTGCAGTGTCCGGCCCGGCGCTGGGCTGCCAGGCAGGGGCAGGGGCTCGAGTGAAGTCCCCCTCCACTGTACGCTGGGCCGCTGCTACCCTCGTCTCCGGGGAGTGTAGCAGCCAATCTCCGGTTGTCCCGATCGCCCTGCCGGTCGTGCTGCGCTGTGCGATAGCACTGCTGGCGAGAAATGGGTCAGTGTCCGAGCTGCTGCCGGTCACCACGGAGCATGAGGAAGGGCGCAGCTGGGTGAGGTTTGGTAGCACCTGGTTGTAATGGAAGCACCTTGACTAGCATCCACATATGGAAGGTCACATCTGGTTCTTGTCACGTTCCCTTCAACTTAGCAGCTTCCAGGCTTATAAACTGCGAGTGACCCACCTGTACCAGATGAAGCAGCACAATATTTTAGCTTCTGTTGGTGAAGATGAAGAAGGTATTAATCCCTTGGTAAGTCAAATGACAGTGGGGAGGTGAGCTGCCGTACCGGCCTTTCTTAGGAAGAGTTCCCGCAGCTTATTTGTTTAAAAGACTGCATGCTAAATCCTGGGCCTGTTAGCCTGGGAGAAAAAAAGAGGTTTTAATCCAACTATCTTGTAATGCTTTCTCCTTGCATCTGAACTCTGTCCCCAGGTTAAAGTCTGGAACCTGGAGAAGCGAGATGGTGGGAATCCACTTTGCACAAGAATTTTTCCTGCAATACCAGGGAACAAACCCACCGTTGTGTCCTGTTTAACTGTCCATGAGAATCTTAATTTCATGGCTATTGGTAAGTGAAAATCACCCCACTCCTGAGGGTGCAAAAACAGCTCCCAAATGTTTTGGTGTTTTTTAGCTTCATATGGTAAATTAGTGGGAGTTAAAGTATAACTAAAGGGGCTTTTGAGAAACTTTGGTTCTCTTCAGCTAAAACAGAAACCTATTCAGGAAATCTGTTCATGAAATCTGTTTTTCAGTATTCATTTGTAACAGTTCTCTTTGGCTGCTTTTCAACATTCCCATGGAATAGTTGCAGGGCAGATATGGGAGAACAAAACAGGTAAGGGCATGGTGCTTTTCATGGGGAAATCCTTGACCTGAAGTCTTTGAGTTTCTGTGCAAACACAGGGGAGTACTCATGAAAGAATGCATGGCGCTAGGTCCTTTAATGGAAGCTGAATTAAGTGCAAAAAAAGTGAAATAGTCTTCCACTACTTTTTCCAGCTCTGTCTGTTTCACTCACTTGCTTCAAAATGAGTTGAACTATATCTAATCCATTCTAATAGACGTTTGTCTGACTGGGTCTTAGAAGCCTCCGATGGTGGAGTGATCCTAATTTTTCTACGTAATCTTTTCCATTTCTTGCCTTCCCTTATGTGTGGAAAGCAATTTCTAGTCTAAATGTTTATTTCTTTCTGAAGTGTGTGTTGGTGCTAGTCCCAGCTCAAGTGGGTGAGGAGACCACTTTATAATCATCCTCTTGGCAGTGGCTTCTAAGGGTTTTTGCTTTAAATTTAGACCCTTGGACTTTTAGCGAAGTGGTGTTAACAGCACAACTTAAAGGGTTTATTTTAAATCTGTAATTTTTGAGTAGGTGGTTTCTGTTTATATTATATTGCTGGGTGCGTCAGAACTTAAATACTTTTGGGGTGTTTGATTTTAAACAATGGCTAAATGAGGCTGGTTCTACTGAGCTAGGCATCCATTCTAGCAAAGCAAAACAAAAGGAGAGTAAAGAAAGAAAAACAGTCCATAAAGGGAAGTGTATGCAGGTGTTCTGAAGGTACAGGAAATGGCGACAGCCCTTTTTCCAAACAGCAGGACTTTTTCTGAGAATCAGGAAACATCAATAAACAGATTCACTTAGGGTTTATGAAGGGTAGGAGTGTGATATTTGGTTAATTGACATAAGATCCCAGGCTCACCCGTTTCTAATATCTAGCTGGGATGGGAACCAAGGAATATTCAGCTACCTGGAACTGCCTTATGCTCGCACTACTTAATGTACTGGAAGTGCCATAAGTATAAATAGTTGAGTCCAGGGGTGTCAAACTTGTTGCCTCCGGGTTGGATCTGGCCCGTGGAACCATTCCACGTGGACCAGTGGTGGTCTGGGGGCAGGCCTGCTGCAGAACTCAAGGTCCCGGGACCCTGATGAACTCATGGTGCCATCTGAATGTGGCTCTGTGTTGCCGCCTGGCACTGGGGAAGTGCTGTCACCTGCAGTTGCTTGTGGCTTGTGGATCCAGTCCAGATCTGGCCCAGAGTGTTTGACACACCTTGTTTGTCAATTCTCTTCAACAGGTTTTGCAGATGGGAGCGTTGTGCTCACAAAAGGGGACATCACACGAGATCGACACAGTAAGACCCACATTTTGCATGAAGGCAGTTACCCAGTTACTGGCCTTGCCTTTAGGCAGTCTGGCAAAACCACACACCTCTTTGTTGTAACCACTGAGAATGTCCAGGTAAGGCGTGAGTTTGAAAAAATCTGTAACTGGGGCCAGGGTGTGGCTCACTGGCTGCATTGGGTCCTGAGTCGTCATCTCACTTGTGCCCCTACAGTGCTACACATTGTCTGTGAAGGATTATCCTCGTCTGGAGCTGGACACTCATGGTTGTGGCTTGCGCTGCTCTACCCTCAGTGACCCCTCTCAGGATCTCCAGTTCATTGTGGCAGGAAATGAATGTGTCTATCTGTACCAGCCAGATGAGCGAGGTCCCTGCTTTGCTTTTGAGGGGCAGAAGTTGATTGTTCACTGGTATCGGGGATACCTCGTCATTGTTTCCAAGGACCCAAAGTGCTCTCCAAAGTAGGGCTCCTGGAGTGGACAAATCCATTTAATGTATTCAGTGTCCAACTACTATTCCTTTCAACTTCCGTTGTGCTTTGTTATGCTAGGTTGTCTACTTACATTATTGTGCCGTCTTGGTATTAGAACCTAATAAAGGCTCCTATGAATCCATCTGAACTTGCAGAAGCCATTGGAGGATGGTGGGGTAGCAGCATCCACATCCAGCGGGATTTGTTAGCTCCCTCCTGATTTTCCTAATAAAACATATAGAATAAGAATTGAATACTACCATAGTGGTGTAGTTGTTCAGAGCTTTGCCTAAAGGCTCCATTTATGAGTTAAACATCAAGAAGAACCTTGCATGCTTGCTGAGGACATCTCAGTTCTGGCTGTGTTAAGACGGTGCTATTGTTAACTAGACTTAGAAATCCAGGAGATTGTACCTTTACATTCTCTCTCTGCCCTCCTTCCATTCTCCAGGTCTGAGTTTGCTGGGAGTGATCCGCAGAATTCAGACAAGCAACTCTTGAACATCTATGACCTGTATAACAAATTCATCGCCTACAGCTCAGTTTTTGATGATGTGGTTGATGTGTTAGCTGAGTGGGGGTCTCTCTACGTGTTGACCAGAGATGGGAAAATCCATGCACTGCAAGAGAAGGATACACAAACCAAACTTGAGGCAGGCAACTCTTGCGTTGTTTGTGTGACAATTTTTAGTCTGTATTTTATATCTCTGATTGTAAAGACTCATTAGATGGGTTAACTCGTTATGTAGTGCTAATGTACTGATAGCTTATTTGTATGACTGAGGGGTTGCAGGCTTCTCTCAGTGCTGCTTACAGGCCGTAAAACACTTTGAGTAGCGTTAAATGGAACAAACAGCTTGCTTTCGGAATAGTACAGTGACATCTCTCTGCTGAGGAACGTAGCAAATTAAATGTCATTGTCCGGAATGGAGATAGCATTCACCCTGCTCCATTTGACAGGTTGAATGTACTTATATGTGACTTTCAGATTCTGCAGAATCTAATCTTTCACTTAAATATTGAAAAGTCCAGCTGCTTGGGTTGTGAGAGAAGCCTTTCGAATCTGAATGGAGTACAAACCAATGCATCTTGTGAGCGTTCTGTGTATTGAGGGGAATGTATCATCCTAGTTACCTATTTTGGCCCAGAGGCTATAAGAAGAAATGAAATCTGGTTCCCATCACTGAGTACATTTGTGACACCTTGGTCTACATAGCTGACCTCTTTAGTTCTTGAAAGCTTAGCGGGGCGGAGGAATCAACTTGAGGTTGAGTATGGAAGGAAAGCACAGCAGCTGTGGTGAAATGAAGCATACACGTGATCTGATGAGGAGAGTGCCTTAATGAGATGTGGTCTAGAAGTAGGTAGGCTGGTCAGGAGGCACTTCCCTGCAATCTCATGTGCCAGGTTTCTGTTCTGTGAAGTCTTGTTACCAGAACAGCGGTGGTTGACCCAGGTCTACCTCCTCCAGTCTATCCCTGCGAGACTCCTATTTTTCATTCCCTGAGGACCATCTGTCCCACCTTCAAGGCTCATCTTCTGTCTGTGTTTCTGTTGTTCTCCCTCTGTGCTTTATGACGGAGAAGTCCAAGTTGCTTAAGTCTCAGGAGAAGATTTGTGGGGTGGCTTTTTTTCCCTCTGTCTCTGAGTTCAAGGCTGGTAAACAGTATATCTGCTTTGGGAGGAGGGAGGAAGCCACAGTTGTCCAAATCTTGTTCTTTCACGTTCTCCAGATGCTGTTCAAAAAAAACTTGTTTGAGATGGCGATTAACCTGGCCAAGAGTCACCATTTGGACAGTGATGGCTTATCGGAGATTTTCAGGCAGTATGGAGATCATCTGTACAACAAAGGGAACCATGATGGAGCTATTCAGCAGTATATCCGGTAGGCAGAGGCTATGCTGAGCAAAGGAAAATGAATAGTGTATACGTGATCTGCAGGTATCTTTTTATTTGTCTAAACCCAGAGTCAAACTTAATCCTATGATGATGAGAGAGTTGATGTTGCAGAGTTCAACGTTTACAGCATAAATGCAGGAGAGGGGCCTAAACATCACTCAGTGAAGATATTTGCTATTCTGACTGCAACTGACTGACTAGGAGTCCAGATGTTAAGGAACAGGATATAGACTTAAACCTGAACATATTCTAATGCCACTGTATACACTGATGTTTACAAGTGTCTGGAATTCTGTGTGCAGTAGTAGTAATCCCATCTCCAAATAGGGCACGGCACAAGTAGAGGAGGCTTACGGAAAGAGGACAGAAATGATAAAGGGCCAGGAAAATGTTTCCGATGAAGTGGGAGTGAGAAGATTTGGGACCACTTTGTTAGATAGAAGAAAGCAAGAACCAGCATGATAAAAGTGATTAATAATGTGGAGTAGGTAGCTCAGAAGCTTCTGTTGTCCCAAACCATGAAAATTGAGAGGAGGAGAGGGCAGCATTTAGTGAAACAGAAAGGTGACAAATTCAAAGCTGATAAAAGGAAGTACTTCTGTTCACGCAGTGTAATTGAAACTCCTTAACGCGGGATGTCTTTTGATGTCAACAGCTGAGTAAGATTCAAGGAGGTGGATGTCCATGTGAATAGGAATTCAAGGAGGTGATGATTAATAAAAGCAGTAAAATGTGGGAAGGTTTGAAAGCTCATGTTTTAGGAGTTAAACCTTTCCCTGATTCCTTGGGATTAGAAGTGCCTTGCAGGAGAGGCGCATTATCCCAGTTCTGTATACAAATGTTGATGGGATTCTTGTATCTTTTCTGAGTCTGGTTCCTGTCAGAGAGAGGGCATGACTAGGCAGACCTTGAGTCTGGCTGGTTGTTAATATTTCCTTGGGAAATGCTTAGAAGTTGCTATCCTTGAAATATTTGCTTTAACTGTGACCTGTGTTCCCCCATATATATCAGGGCTTATAACATTGTATTAAGAACCTTTGTGGTGGGGCCCAGAGTAACTTTCTGCATTTCATGAAGTGTCATTTTTAGCTACAGACGGAATCTCCTGTCTGTTGTCTGCTCTACGTAAGAAAGCACTTTTGTCTCTGGATGCACAGGTGCTGGTTGAGTGCTGATTTTTCTGCTTGTGGGTTGATTCTCCTCTTGCCGGTTTACTTTGCCATACAAACCTTTCTCCTGTAATGTCTTTATCCTGTAAGCACCATTGGAAAACTAGAGCCATCTTACGTCATTCGGAAGTTCCTGGATGCTCAGCGCATCCACAACCTGACAGCCTACTTGCAGACGCTCCATCTGCAGTCCTTGGCCAATGCAGACCACACCACGTTGCTGCTGAACTGCTACACCAAGCTCAAAGACAGTTCCAAATTGGAAGAGTTCATCAAGGTAATGGGGAAAGGCAAAACAATTGTGCAAATTATGAGGCCACCTTGGGGACTAGCAAAGGGGTAATAGTAACATAGGCTGACTTGTACTGGTAGCTTTGCCCGTGCAAGTATGGCAGAATAGCTCCCTTGACATTCTCATGTGCTTATCTCCAAGGGCCTAGCACCATTACATATTTACCTGCCTTGCAGTTTTAAAGCTTTGTATATGGGAGACTGCAATGCTCCTACTGTGATTAACCCTTAAAAGTCTTGGCAGAGTGTAGCTGGAACACAGGCCACGTACAGCTTCAATCCTCATCTTGCGTGAAAGATGTTAATGGTTACTGGCAGGTGTTCGGGCATGTCAGCCAGTGTTTCTGTAGCAACAGCGTTGAGGTTCTTTGCTTGTCAGCCTGTCACACCCACTGCCCTGCATTTCTTCCTTATAGACTAGTGAGAGTGAAGTTCACTTTGATGTGGAGACAGCAATCAAGGTGCTCCGCCAAGCAGGTTACTACTCCCACGCTGTGTACCTGGCAGAAAAGCATGCGCACCATGAATGGTACCTCAAAATCCAGCTGGAGGATATCAAGGTGAGGGGATACCACGATCCGTTTCTCTCTGGGTCTTCCGTGTGGTATGAAACCCCTTCTCTGTATAATGGATCCTCTTCCATTTGGTGTTGGTGTGTAAAGTACTCGGGGAACAATTGTGGTGCCACTACAGAGAGCTGCTGTGGCTGTGTACTGTTCAGATCTCTTTGATCCATATGAAAGAGTGTTAATAGAGAAGTCAGAGGTACCTTTGGTGCTCCTTAAGAGAAGGGGAAGGATCTTGAGCAGCGTGTGACCAAGGATTGAAATAGACTTAACCTAAGGCAGCAGTTCTCAGACCCTTGAGTTGCCTCCCTGTGTTTGTTGGCTGTATTGCTGTGCTCCCCCTATTATTCCATGTTACGGATAATAGAAAATGTGTACTTTGTGAGTACAAATGCACTGTAACCGTAAGAGAGAGGGGGTCATTTTTTTCCTGTTTATCTCCCCTTATACAATATTTTGCCTTCCCATTTCTTCCTCCCATGTACCCTTTAGAAATTTTGCTGCATAACATCAGAGGTGTGTATATCCTAGTCTGAGAAATACTGGTGTAAATGCTAGTGTTAGCTCTGTTGTATCCAGGATCAGTGTCACTCATCTAGATGCAATCCTCTGATCCCAGAGGTGGGCAAAGCAGTGGTAGACAAAGTTCTCATTTGGTTTAAAAGGTATTTATGGCATTTTTTAAAGAGCTTTTCAAGTGCTGCCTGTAGGGCAGACAGGTTTGACCTTTTTACTTGGAGGACGGAAGTGGCTCCTGGTTTGCCTGATCAGCTGCTCCTTACAGAATTACCAGGAGGCCTTGCGTTACATTGGCAAGCTGCCCTACGACCAGGCAGAGAGCAATATGAAGCGGTATGGCAAAACCCTCATGCACCATGTCCCCAACGAGACCACAGAACTGTTGAAGATCCTGTGCACAGATTACCGGCCATCGGGAGACTGTGAAGGGCCTGGGATGCTGGAGGTGAAAAAGGTAGGGTACACGTGAGAAGACGAGAGAAGCAACTCTTGTGTTGCTTTTTTTCACTGATGATTTTTACACTTAAATGTGCTAGAAAACATTGGGGCAATGTGAGTTTTCTTGCCCTGGATAGAGTTCAGGTAGTACTGGAGGCTTACCTTAGGAGGGGGCAAGGGTATGGTTACTTGTGGTATTGTGCAGGATTGAGAATTCCCACCGTGGTGGCTTGAAAGGGGTTCCTAGGATCTGGCGTGCAGCGGTTTGAATGTTCAGGGTCTAGATGTGTACTGCTTGTCAAGAAAGAGGCAAATCTCTGAGGAGATTAGCTGAGCTCATTCTGTACAAGGTGGGAAGTGTATACTTGAGACTGGACAGCGTGTGAAAATTTCCTTCTGGCTTGTTTTAAGGCTAATTCCGAGGAGTTCATTCCAATATTTGCAAACAACTCTCGGGAGCTGAAGGCTTTTCTGGAGCACATGACAGAAGTGCAGCATGACTCTTCCCAAGGTGTCTATGACACGCTGCTGGAACTCCGGCTTCAGAACTGGGCACACGAACGGGATCCACAGGTATGACCTCCTTCATTCTTGCAACTAGGAAGTGCTTTCCAGCCCAGGCTCTCTGCTTGTATGTCGCTAGTCCGGGAGCTCTCTCTTTGTGCATTGTTAGCTTGGTTATGACCCTGGCTTGATATGCTAGACAGAAAAATGGACAGGCCGGGCCAGTCCCCTCCCGTCTTCTGTGCCCCATTGGAACAAAACTATTACTGCCTCAGTTCTTTGGGGCTCTCGCTCATCGTAGCTTTTGGGAACTACAATCCCATGGGCAAATGCCTTAGCCCGCACATCTCCACCCTCTCTGTCCTGTGCTGAAAGCTGTTTTTCTGCGGGCAACTGCTGCAGTATCAAATCAAAGCAGAATTCCTCCTGTCCACAGGGTAGGAGAGCAGCTTCTATGCCAGGGGCAGGCAAAATGCGGCCCGTGGGCCAGATGCGGCCTGCCGGGCCATTATATCTGGCCCATGGGGCCCCTAAAATAGTTAGAAAATTGATATTTATCTGCCCCTGGCTGCCCATTATGTGGCCGTCGATGGCTTGCCAAAACTAAGTAAGAAGCCCACCGCCCAAAATAATTGCCCCCCCTCCCCCCCGTTCTGTGCCATGAGGTGGTGGTGGGCAATTATTTTGGCTCGAAGACCACTTAGTGAATTTAGACCTGTCGAGGGCCGTGCGCACGCAACGTTTTAGAAGATGTCATTGTAACATGTTATAGATAAAGCAAATTGTATGCTAAAAATCAAATATATACTATATAATTTAATTCAAAAAGTATTTTTTCCGGACTTATCTGCATTTGAGTAGTGCATGTAGAGGCAATTGCCTAATAGCTCAAGAGACAGTTTTATGCTTTTTATATTGCGTATAGGGTGTGGGGGGCGTGAGGTGTGTGGGCTGCTGCCTGTGCAGTAGGTCCTAGGAGCTTGCTGGGGGTTGGGGGTGAAGGAAGAGCAATGGGCGCATGCAGCAGAAGATGCCTGGCAGTGTGGTGCAGGTGCGAGCGTCCCACCTTGGCTGCCCCAGCAATGCTCTGCATAGGGCTGAGCCCTATCCAGGGCAGCCGGTGCTGAGTTCCTGCCCTAGTCGGGCAAGAGTGCACAGCTTTCTGGCAGTGTTACTCCTGGTGGGGTCATACTTTCATAGTTAGTAGGGTCGGAAGGGACCTGAGCAGATCCTTGAGTCTGACCCCCTGCCATGGCAGGAAAGATTACTGGGGTCAAATGACCCCTAGCAAGGTGTTTATCTAGCCTTCTCTTGAAGACCTCCAGGGTAGGAGCCAGCACCACTTCTCTTGGAAGTTGGTTCCAGATCCTAGCTGCCCTGACCGTGAAGTAGTGCCTCCTGTTGTCTAATCTGAATTTACCCTCTGCCAGCTTGTGACCGTTATTGCTAGTTGCTCCTGGTAGTGCTCAGGGGAACAGGGACTCCCGCAGTGCCTGCTGGTCCACTCTGTCTAGTTTGTAACAAGCCACTAGATTCCCCCCCCTCAGCCTTCTCTTGTGGAGGCTGAACAGGTTCAGGTCCCGTAGCCTCTCCTCATACGGCCTGCCCTGCTGCCCGCTGATCGTGTGAGTGGCCTCCTCTGGACCCTCTCCATGTTGTCCAAATCCCTCCCGAAGTGCGGTGCCCAGAACTGGACGCAGTACTCCAGCTGTGGCCTGTGCGCTTGTTGGTGTTGAAGTCCATCCTATTCTCATCCACCCACCCCTGTAACCTGTCTAGGTCTGATTGCAGCCTGTTCCTCCCTTCTGGTGTACCCACATCCCCCCACATCTTAGTGTCATCTGCAAATGTGAACAGGGTGCTTTTTACCCCCTCGTCCAAGTCACTGATGAAGATGTTGAACAGTGAGGGCCTGAGGACCGGGCCCTGCGGGACCCCACTGCCCACATCCCTCCAGGTCGAAAATGACCTGTCTGCCACCACTCTCTGGGTGCGGCCCTCCAGCCAGTTGGCGACCCATTTGACCGCGTGGGTGTCGACACCACATTCCCTGTTTCTTGATGAGAATGGGGTGAGACGGTGTCGAAGGCCTTCCGAAAGTCCAGAAAGACTATGTCCACTGCTACCCCTGTGTCTAAGGATTTGGTGACCTGGTCGTAGAGGCCACCAGGTTGGTCTGACAGGACTTGCCTCGAATGAACCCGTGTTGGTTGCCCCTAAGCATAATCTCCCCCCCCCGGCCCCTCTTGGACATGCGCCAGAATAATTCTCTCAAAAAGCTTCCCCAGGACTGAGGTAAGACTAACTGACCTATAGTTCCCCGGGTCTTCCTTCCTCCCCTTTCTGAAGATGGGAACCACGTTGGCCCTCTTCCAGTCCTCTGGCACCACACCAGAGCACCACGAGCGCTCGTACAGCCGTTGCAGGGGTCCCGCAATGACCTCAGCTCATTCCCTCGGTACTCGGGGGTGGAGATCGTCCGGACCAGCTGATTTGAATGCATCCAGTCCCTCCAGAAGTTCCCTGACTAGGTCCTCACCCTTGGCCGAGGTGTGCCTCCCCTGGGGTGTAAGGGGGACCCAGGGGGGTGCGGGGGGTGGCTGTTCCGGTCCCTGCTCAGGAAAATGGAGGCAAAGAAATCGTTAAATAGGTTAGCTTTGTCACCTGGTGTGATGACCAAATTTCCTAGTGTGTCCTGCAGGGGCCCAACATTACCCAGAACCTTCTTTTTGCCTCCTGTGTATTTAAAAAAGGACTTCTTGTTGTCCTTAGATCCGGGAAGCTAGTCCCAGTCCCAGCTCCGCCTTGGCCTTCCTGACTGCCCCTGTGCATCCCCGAGGAACCGCAGCATAGTCCTCCCTGGTGATGGCCCCTCCATTCCATTGGGCGTGTGCCTCCCTTTTAGCTAGGAGACATTTCCGGATGCTTTTGGTGAGCCATGGGGGCTTCTGTGCCCTCCTGCCCCCTTTGATCTGTGTTGGGATTACCTCCCTTTAGGCTTGGAGAATCGTCCCCTTAAGGAGTGACCACTCTCTTTGGACACCTGGCTCCCCTCCGGGACCTCAGTGCTTCCCCCCTGATTCTTCTTAGCTCATTGAAGTCCACCCTCCTGAAATCTAGCTCACTGAAGTCCCAGCCTTCCAGCTACTACTCTGCTCCTCCCCTCTCCCTGGCTTGTCCTCTTCCTGCTACCTGCTCCAGATAGGGTGGGGGAGCTGCAGCCGAGTGGTTCCTGCCCCGTTGTGCAGACCTCCAGCTCCCAGCTGCCTTTCACCCACTCTGCTGCCTGCAGGGGGGCTGCTCATCACTCCGGGTGGTTGAGTGGCTGGAAGGTGGCTGGGAGCTGGAGCCCTGCACACTGGAGCAGGAGCTGCCCAGCTGCAACTTACCTCTCACTCTCTCCAGCCATGCAGCAGGGGTAGGAAGAGGAGGAGCCAAGGGAGTTGAGGGGCAGCCAAGCAGTAGCCAGGCAGCTGCATTTGTGCTGGGAACAGCTGTGGGCTGGATCCAGTTAACTGGCGGGCACCTGTCCACAGGACAGATCCAGTCAGTTGGGCCGGATTTGGCCTGCGGGCCTTAATTTGTCCACTCTTGCCATAAGAGCTGTTAGGGATAGGTGTCTGGTCTCTGGGGTAAAATCTTTGTCTCCTGAGACTTAGTGTTGTGGTTGGCTTTGTGCCTAGATCAAAGAGAAACTTCACAGTGAAGCCATCACCTTACTGAAGAGTGGAAAGTTCAGATGTGTCTTTGATAAAGCCTTGGTCTTATGTCAGATGCACAACTTCAAGGATGGAGTCCTCTACCTCTATGAACAGGGCAAACTGTGAGTGCTACTTCCCATCCCCATCTCAACCCCCCAGCGACTTAGCTACAGACCTTTCTGCTCTCCGAGGGTAAAGGTCCTCTGAGAGTTTCAAACAGGATCCCACCTCAGGCGACAGATTTACATGGACCCAGACTGTTTTAGAAGGGCGGCGTTATGTATAGTAGGAGGGGTTGGTTCTCTTTGGCTGGCCTTAGTGCAGGCGGGATTATGTGGTTGCTACTATAGGGACAGCAGGCTGTAGTATAAGGGAAAAGTGGATTGACTTAACTAATTTACCCTTCCCTTCAGTTTTCAACAGATCATGCATTATCACATGCAGAATGAGCAGTACAGGAAGGTGATTGAGGTATGTGAGCTGTATGGAGACCAAGAGGCATGTCTCTGGGAACAGGCTCTCAGCTATTTTGCCCGGAAGGAGGAGAACTGCAAGGAATACATCACAACAGTGCTGAAACGCATAGAAAACAAGAACCTCATGCCTCCACTGCTTGGTAATGACAAAACCTACCTCAAGAGAACAGGGATGGAGCATACTCCCTTTAGACTGAGGGCTTGAGCAGAAGTATACTGGCTGAGGACATAGCTGGTCTCATACTAATGCAGCTAGAGATCATGCAAAGGCATAGCTAGTTCCCTAGTATCGCGTACAGAAGGATAAAAGAGTAGAGAGTAATAATATACTTTCTTGATTTAAAGACGGGAACTTTGAAATAAGTCTCACAACCCATCTGTGAGGTGACTGAGCCTTATTCCTGTCCTCCAGTGGGAAGTCCAAAGCACAGAAGTGAATTGTCCAAAGCCCCAGAGTGAATTGGCAAAGATGGAATAAAATCCAGATTTCCTTACTGCCAGGTCCCTTGCCCTAGCCACCCAGACATGATCCCTGCTACCTCTTTTATGGTTAGTGTCTCCTACCAGATATTCCAAAGCTTAACTTTTTTCATTACATCAAGAGGTTGGCAGTGTAGTAAAACCATCACCCTGGCCTTTAGGTGGCATTTTCGAGGAAAGCAGTGTCGCTTCTGCAAATCCCTGTCTGTTTCTGTACCCACATGTTGGTTATCGTAGTTGTGCAGACTCTGGCTCACAACTCCACAGCCACACTATCTGTGATCAAGGATTATCTGATCAACAAGCTGCAGAAGCAGAGTCGTCAGATTGAGCAGGATGAGCAGAGGATTCAGAAGTACCGTGAAGAAACCACAAAGATCCGCCAGGAGATTGAAGAGCTCAAAACAAGGTTGGACCTCAGGGTTTCTTGTCTTGTGATGGGATGTCTAGTTCACATTAAGAAAAAATATTTTCTGTCTTTTACCACCCTTTTGCTCCCATTGTCTCAGTCCCAAGATCTTCCAGAAAACAAAATGCAGCATCTGTACAGGTGCCCTGGAGCTGCCGTCTGTCCACTTCCTGTGTGGCCATTCGTTCCATCAGCACTGCTTTGAGAGCTACTCTGAGAGCGATTCTGAGTGTCCCACCTGCATGCCGGAAAACCGCAAAGTGATGGACATGATCCGAGCCCAAGAGCAGAAGAGAGACCTACACGATCAGTTTCAGCATCAGGTAGAGATGTCACCATTGCTGTCTTCCCTTTGTGCTTGCTGGGTTTTAAATAGCTGTGGGTTAATAGCACAGGTCAGGCTTCTGCGTGTTGTCTAACACCTGTTGGGAACAGAAGGCAAGCTGCTTTGCAAACAGGGTCATGTTGACTCCAAGTAATAGAGCACGGGGAGCTGAGTGACCTGTTTCTAAGATGACTTTTATCCACACTCTTTTTCTGTGGTCTCAGAATGGAGGTGGAGATGATCTCCTTTCAAGTACCATAGCTAAAGCAGCTGTTCAGCGGTGCACAGGAACTCTGCACAGTGGCTTAGGCCGTCAGATGGTGGTATACTTCAGGAAGGAAAAGAATGCTGGTCACAGTGGAATTGGCTCAGAAAAGGATCTTTTCTCAGCCTGGGTTGAAAAGTATGACTTTAGCATGCACAGCTGGCATGTTCTAATGAGCACATTGGGAAACTGTGGGTCAGGCAACATACACCCTTACAGGAGCCATGTTGAAAGCCCAGCGTTCAGCTTGGCATGTTTACCCATAGATTCTGTGCCTCTCCTAAAGTAACTTGATGATGTGAACAGCCTTAAGGGATGAATATCCATTTTTACAAAACCTTAGTGGAACTGGGCACTGACGGGGGGGTCCCAGGACGATGACAGCTCTGCTTTGCTTGTACGTGACCCAGCAGGGGGGGTAGGAATACTTTTGCAGCAGGATTCAGCCCCCTTTTAATCAGATGTCTTTGTTCCCAATAGCTTAAGTGCTCTAATGATGGCTTCTCCGTTGTTGCTGACTACTTCGGTCGTGGGGTTTTCAACAAGCTCACCCTCATCACTGACCTGCCGCCAGGCAAATCTGCCACGACTATTGATGCTGGTCTGCAGAGGGAACTCCTCATACATACGAAACGCAGCACCTAGAGTCTGCTCCCACGTCGGACGCCACCCTGCTAGGTCCTTCTAGCGTGGCATGTGTATGTCGAGGGACTCGGCTATTGCATCTTGATTTCTTGAATTCCTCCAATGACTTGTAAACCCGCCAGTGACGAGATAAGAGGAAGATGGAAGCTACCATGGTGTTAGCATATATAAAAAATAAACCCCGCTCGTGGCATGGGTTTGAACCCAGGTCAGGCTGCATTAGCCTCAGTTAGCCTCGCGCCCCGGCCCCCGTGCCCACCCTAGTGCATTGGTGCAGGGTCGAGTCCCGCTGCAGGTGGCGGTGGGAGCAGGGGCAGGGGTGCTGCCCGAGCCAGGGAGGAGCAGGGGCCGTAGCAGGAGGCTTTACCCAGAGGCGGTGGGGGGTAGTTTTTGGCGCTTAGGTTGCGGCAGCTTTGTCCCCCGCTTGTCCCGGTTCTGCCCATTGGAGGCCGGCCTGTCCGCCTGGCCGCCCGGGTCCGAGCAGAACCTGACCGCGTCGGGCCGCGCGGGGGGCGGGGGGGCGGCCGCAGTGCGCCTGCGCGGGGTCACAACCTGGGCCCAGCCCGCGAGCGCTGTGTCAGCGTCACGACCTGGAAGTGATGTAGCGGAAGCTGGTGCTGAGGCGGCCGGGTGGGATGGTGCACAGCACTGGCTTTGGCTTCGGCTCCGGTCCGCGGCCCGCGCGGGAGCCGCCATGTCCGCCACGGTGAGTCCCGCCCGGGCCGCTGCG